AAAAGCTACACATAAATATTTACATGTTCTATTCATAATCTCCAAAAACTGGAAACAATCCAAATGTCTTCAACAGGTGTGTGGGTAAATAGCTGTGGTTCTTCCATACAATGAAATACTTCTCAGAAATAAAAACAAAGGAGCTCTTGATATGCACAATGACTTGGATCAATCTCAAAAAGCATGCTGATTAAAAGGAAGCCAGAGTGGACTCTTCTATTTATATGACATCCTCAAAAAGACGGAACCGTAGTGTGGAGAACAGGTCAATGGTTGCCAGGGCTTAGGGGTTTGGGGTAAGGTGTGATAAAGGGCTAGCTTGGGTGGGGGGCGGGGGGTTGATGGGGATAATGGAACTGTTCTGCGTCCTGACTGTGGTTACACAAATTTGTACATATGTGTTAAGATTCATAGAACTTTACACTTTTCCATGTTTTTTCCATGTTTGCTTTATTAATCACACAGACTATATTTTTTATATCTTTGTCCTTCAAAAAGACTCTCCGTGGGTAATGGGATTTTTATGAAGTGTAATGAGGCTGTTAACCTCCCCTTCCTCTGCATAAGGCTGTGCAGGGGAATAAAGCAAGGTTCTTTTTATCTTGCAGTTCCTTTTATCTGTTTTTATTTTTTAAATTTTTCTTTATTTTGTGGGGTGGCCTCTAACTAGATTCAAGGAAGCGCTAGCTATGCTAAGTAGGGTAAGAGACTCTGACCAGGATTTTCCCTCCGTCTGTTAAATGTTCTCAATTTTTCTGTCAAGATCTCCTTTCTTTTCTGTTCCTTTGAAGACTCGCATAAAAACTCACCAGACTTTTTTTATTACCTAAAAGTCTATTGCAGTTAAATTCTTCAGCCCGTTTCCCTTTGATAATTATTTACAAGAAACAAAGGGTCATTTAAAAGTATTTAGTTTCCACTGGCTCAGTGTAAGGTTCCATCCGGTGGTGTTCTTAGGGGTGGACAACAAGCCGTGAAAGGGATTCCAGGGTGTATGTGAGTGTGTGTGCGCGCGCACAGTGTCACGCTCTCCAAGCCTCTGTGTCCTCCTCTGTAAAATATGGACGTTAGTGCCCACCACAGGGTTGTAAGGACAGTTCAGTGAGAAAACATGTAGGGGGCCGGGCACAGCGCCTGGGCACACGGAATGTTGCTTTTGTTCTTACAGGAATGTTTTTCTGTCAATACTTAACTCTGTGGAGAAACTGAATTAAAATCCAGAAACTCATAATGACCCTCCATTTTCTCCAGCTAAAAATTACCTTCAGCCAGTAGGTAGAAATGTAGTGTACTGATGCTTTTCGATGTTCTAAAAAACACGCAGGTACATGTATATGTAAAGCAAATATGGCAAAATATTAATGTGTCGAATTAGGTAGTGGATTCATTATACTATCCTTTAAACTTTCTGTATACTTGAAATCTTTCCTAATTGGAAAGTTGGGGGGAGATTAAACTAAAAAGCCTTGATTGCCAACAACTTTTTCTCTGTTAGTTATTAATTAGTCACTAATTAGTTACTAAGATGCTATGCCATAAAGACCGATATAGAATGACTTAAATACAACAGAAAGGACTCTCTCCTAACAGTCTAAAGACGGACAGGCACGGTAGGGTGGGCGAGGCTCTGCCGCATGACTGGGCCGCTCTGCCACCCGCAACATCTGGCTTCTGCCCCTGGACCCAGGGCTGCGGCCGCAGTTGTTGCCCTGTCCAGCCAGCAGGAGGTAGGAAAGGAGAATTCCAGGCATGCTTCTAAGGCACTGATTCCCAAGTCACGGACATATTTCTTCGCACATCCCATTGGCCTGAGCTTATTTATGTCATTACAAGCGTCAGCAAGGGAGGCTGGGAAATGTCACGGGGCAACCATGTGCTGGTATCACAGTGAAATAGCATGTGCCCAGCTAAAAACTGCAAGGCACTGGGGGTGAGGCGGGGGCGGAGTTCTGTTATTAGAAGAAAGATGGAGAGAATAGGCCCTGGGACACAGGAGTTCACATTTAAATGGCTCCCATTTTACACTTATTTTTCTTATTTAGAGCAATTTTGCATTCAGATAATTTTCCTGTCTCTAAATATACCTCAAAATGAATGATTTCAAGAGATAAATCACATCTATTGAGCCATTTCTCTAATATAAACCAAGAAGTGAAGGAGCAGCAGAGAAATGGTCTGAATTAGATCTTTTCCAAGGTAACAGTAATAACGTCATATGAATATTGAGAACTATTTAACGTATACCTTAACTTCTTTCCTTACTGTACAGTGAGATAATTATTTATCAAGCTTTGTTCTTACGTTTCCAGTCATTTGAAGTTCATTTGAAATTATGTGAAAATCATGCGGGTCATATTTCATTCATCAGCTGTTGGTGTCCTCAGCTGAAGTCCATGTAAAGTCAAATCTGGTGCCAGTGTAATAGAGGATGTCAGGTACCTCAGAGAGCATCATGTGAAAATAAAGATGAAAGCAGTTTGCTTTTATCATTAAAGAAGTTCTTCATCTAAGGAATGCTTTTCACTCAAAGCAAATGGGCTTTTTATTGGTGTGGGCAGAAGGGAAAAGGGATCACTGTAGCCAGCGGGCGACGTTCAGGCTGGAGAGCAGCCCTCTCCTGGGCCACCCACACTTGTGTCCGTATGACCTATTGGTGCCCCTTGAGGTGTAAGGGACAGAAACCCTGCTCAGATTAGCCTCTGTACATAAGGCAATTTATTGGCTTCCAGATAGGAAGGATATTGGCATAGCTCATAACATCAAAAGAAGAGCTACAAAGACCAGAGCCTCAGGTACGAAATGACACCAGAGTCAACACCCCCAGAACGTTCTGTTTGCTTCAGCTTCTGTGTCTTATGTGCAGAGGGCTTCTTATGAGGTGAGTGTGGCCACCTCATCGGAAAGGGAGGACTTCTTGAAATAAGTCAGACAGAGAAAGACAAATACTCTACGTTATCACTTGTATGTGGAGTCTAAAAAAATAAACAAATGAATATAACAAAGCAGAAGCAGACTCACAAATATAGAGAACAAACTAGTGGTTACCAGCTGGGAGTGGGGAGGGACAAGATGGGGTAGGGAACTAAGAGGTACAAAGTGCTATGTATAAAATAAGCTATAAGGATCTACTTACTTACTAGAGCACAGGGAATATAGCCAATATTTTATAATGACCTTGAATGGAGTATAATCTATTATATTATTGAATCACTGTGGTGTACACCTGAAACTAATATAATATCATAAAGCAACTGTACTTCAATTTCTACAAAGAAAGACGTCTTGATCCCAAAGTCAGTATAGCCATCCCAGGAAAGGGCTCTGATTGGATCTGACGGGGTCACGTGGCCACACTGCAGCAGAGAAGAAGGTGGAGAGGAGAGCCAGCTGGAAAGGCAGTTGTCCACTACAGCTTGTCCCCTCCTAGACTGGAATGATTTTGACAGCCCCACGCTTGGGTGACCCAGGAACATATTCTGTGAGTGAGCAGGGATGAGATTTCTCTGCATGATTCAAAACCTTTGACTCTTCTAACTGGTACTAAAGCTACATTTTACATGGGTTTCCAGCAGCTTCCTAATCCTTCCCCCAAGCCTGAGACACACAAGGAAGAGAAATCCTGAATGTCCACTCCATGCTTTTATTGGTTTATAAACCGTATTTTTCAGCTACTCTTCCTCTCTGTCCATCATAACACTGTCCAAGACAACACAGTGTCTAATGATTGCTGGTATAGTTCTGACTTTGTTCTTTTGCTTTTGTTTTTAAGACTCCGACAGCGGAAAATGAAAGATAGAATGGAAGGACACCCCACATGCACCTGACTTGTCACTGAGTCTCACGCATTTGGAATAGGTCACCCATTTTTAACAAATGAGAATGAGTCTCCAAAGTAGATCAGTTTTATCAAGAGTGATATTAGATCTGCATGCAAATCTTGGTATAATCTCCCCCAATTTTATAGTGAAAATATCAGAAGAAAGTGAGAAGATATATGAATAAGCCTGTCAATGTAGCTGGAAAAATCTCCTAATTGACATAGAGAAATACTCAAAATACAGTCAGTGCTAAGGGCAAAAGTGAGCTGTACACATCTGTGTGTGCATATACAAATACATGGTGAAACGCGCCAAATTTTACCAGTGGTATCTCTGTGAGATAGGACTGTGGGGGGGTTTTGCTTTTTCCTTTGTTTTTGCCAGGTTTTCTAAATTAAATGTGTATTATTTTTGTAATTGGAAATTTTTCTTTGAGAAACACACAAGTCTTCAACCACAAATCTACTCACATTTTTGCAGAGTGAATAATGTGAAAAGAATAAGGTAAGACACTCAGGCTCAGGTTCAAAGCCAGCTACTCCGTGACCTTGGACCAATTCCATCTACTTTCTGGGCCTGGGTCCTGCCTCTGTAGAAATAGGGATTAAAGCAGATGATCTCCAAGGACTGCTCAGGATGCAGACTCCTACACTCTTAGGTTGTAAGAACATTGCAGCTTGATTTGTTGGAGAAGATATTATTTCGTGTGGAGTGAGGGTGGAGTAGGGGAGGCAGCATCATTGCTGAAAATGTATTTACTAAGGGTCACGTGCTAGAAAAGTGTTCTGAAATCTGGTTTCGAGTCACTGTACTAGGTACTTGTTATCTTCTAATATTTGAAATTTATATTTGGAAGCTGTTTACATATTAATACTTATCTAAAAGTGAATTACTATGACTTATTATTCTGAATAATACCCAATTTTTATTTAGAATGTTCTCATTGAGTATGTGAGAGCTGGCATGGGGACGCTGTTGGCTCATATACAATAAGGAATTTATTGCAAAATTCACCTTTGGCCACGGTGCTGGTGAGGAAGGAAAGATCCAGGCTGCCAAGTGCTCCCAGGCAACCCCTCCTTCCCATTTCATTCAGTCAACCTGAGAGGTTGTTCAAGAGTGAATACATTCTTTATACATGTGGGAAAGAGAGCCAGTAGCCAGGCTTGAGAAAGGAGCCCAGTCTGGCAGTACCCACCAGCCCTGTCTGCAGCCAAAAGGCTATATCCTCGCTGACCAGCGTCCCCATGCCAGGGGGAACGTGCCATTCTCAAATCGTGTTCCCTAAGAGAGTAAATTAAATACATTTGGTGAATGAGAATAAAAAGGAAAAGGATTTGAGATCTGATTTTTGCACTGGGTGAATGCAAGGGGGCCAATGGAAAATGTCACCACCATCAAGCTATGTCTGACTTGGGACTATGAGGGTGGGCCTTTATTAAGGCAGGCTTGGTCCTTTAAACTTGCCCGAGGACTGTGGTAACTCAGCCAAGAAAAAGATGAGCTGCCAACATACTCCTTTCAATGTAACACAATTAACAGGGAGGGTATAGCTCAGTGGTACGGTGTGTGCTTAGCATGCACGAGGTCCTGGGTTCAATCCCCAGGACCTCCTTTAAAACAAATAAGTAAACCTAGTTACCTTCCCCCCACAGCAATGCAACACACTGAGGACTGTGTCTTCCTATACAAACAGTGTAATCAGCTGTGGCTGCATTCCGCGGTAGCCCACAAAATCCAATGTAATTAAGCTCTTTGTTTGCACTGTATATTTGCCATGAAAACCAGTAGAAAATACTTTTATATTTTATACTCTACAATTCAGCAAACCTGTGGTTTAACAAACTTTTCTAAGACTAGCCTAGGTATCTGACATCTGTGTTTTTGTGTTTTGTTTTTTCTTTAAGAGTAATTTTATTTCTTACATTTAAGAAAATGTAATCCTAGCTCCCACCTAACATATAAATCAACTTTAAACAAATAAACTCTTTGTAATCTGGGAAATTGCTGGGGTTTTTTAAAATGTTTTTTAATTTATCTTTTTTATTCTATCTTTATCTTTTTTTAATCTTCCTTGTTCAGTTCTTGTGCCTGAGGATAGGATCATGATCTAATATATGTTGTGTTATCCATATTGAGGAAATCTCATCAGGAGTCTGAACACCCGCAGTTCTCTCCCTGAGCCCTCCTTCTATTGACTTAGGTATCTTAGTTTGACTTGAGTTTCTCTGGCAGAATAAAGTTTCCTCTTTATTCTGAACCATACCAAGGACATAGTCAGGCCTCAGTAATATTTCATAGTGAAAACACTCGCAGCTTCTCTGTCTGCAGATGAGCTGGTCCCATTGCTGAGCGTGTCAGGCAGAAGCGGTTTGCAGCAGGACGAGGAGAGGGCCCCCTCTACCCAGAAGAGGGCCCCTTCTTCCAATCTGACCTGGGTCTGAATTATCTGAGCAGCCTCTTCCTGTGTGAGAGGGGTGAGATGGTCTCTGAAGCACTTTCTCTGATGCTTAGATCCCAACTAACACCAAGAAGAAAAATGGAACCTTTACTGTATTTCTATCTGTTTTGCTCCCCAAACTATGATCTCAACAGGCTTCTCTCCTCAGAGACGTCATTGAGGGCCCAGACGGCACACAGCCAACCTGCCAATGAGGAGAATGAGGTGCCAGGAAGCCAGAAGGGTCATGAACAGAGAGGGGAGTGCCCTTTCCCCTGGGGGTGGAGGCGACGTGAAGGGTGGCTCTAGCTGGTCCTTGAAGAGAGCAGGACTTGGAAGAGAAGCGGGGAGAGGGCGGTGTGTGCTCCATCAGAGGGGCAGGACAGCACCCATCCTTTTAACTCCTGGCCTCCAATCTCTTGTTTCAGAGGAAAGGCAGCCGGCACGTGAAAGGCGAAGACAGGGGCAAAGCCACCAGCAGGAGCATCGGGCTGGACACGGCCCTGTCCCAACCTGCGGAGAGCAGAAGCCCGCCCAAGGGGCGCCTCCTCCCTCCCTCCCGGGAGTGCTGGATGAAGGAGAAGGGGCCCACCCAGCACGGCAGCCTCTCCGGGTTCAGCAGCAGCGACAGCGTCCTGCGGGAACTAGACGACGGACAGTTTGACCAGGAGGATGGAGTAACTCAGGTCACTTGTATGTGAGCAGTGTAGGAAAGCAAGACGCCCTGTAAATAATTATTAAAATAATTGCCAAGTGGCTTTATTGTATTATTTTATCTGCATTTATGTAACGCTTTGAATTTTTCCGGACTCAGGCTTTCCTTCAATCTGCATAAACTTTGGCTCAACTTCCCAGACGAAGAAGAATAACCAACATATTTGTAAATTTAGAATCATGTTTACAGTTCTCACAACTAAAACATCTGTTTAAGCTGATGTCTCATTAGGTTAATAACCGAAAATGTACTCAGTTTCTCATGAATGTGCAAGGTGTACTTTTCTTAAAATTCCTGGTAAGACGACTAAGCATCTCAACCAGTGTTTTTACCTAATAATTAGAAAATTCTCAGGAAGTCAAAGTCTTACTTAAGCTGAAAATTCTCTCTTTCACAGATACACACATACACACACACACGTAAAGGGCTAATTAATAAAATACCTATTCCCTAAATATAACAATTAATCCAAATTTTGTCTTTAACTATGGCATGTATATACAAAGCAAGCCCTTATTTGTTAAAATATTCTTTGGGAAAAAGTCCTTTTTGTATGTCTTTGGTTTTAAAGTGTCACCATGTTACCAACTCTGTACCTACTTACTCATTGAGCTTAAACATTGTTGCTTCTAACAGCCTAGACACGGAGGGAAGCAGCATCCCATAAAACTCAATACGAAAACCCACAATCTCAGTATTTAAAAACCTTAGTCAACAGAATTAATTTTCTTTCTTTTAAATTGTAAATAGTCTGAAAAGGGTAACATCAACTTTAATGGAGACCGAAGTCTTTTACATCTGTCTAGATTTGAGTTATACTTTTATTTTGATTGCTAAATCATGAAGAATGTGGAAACCCAGTCCTGCAGGAATCCAGAGGTGCTCACAGCACATGCCGTGCGTCTGGTGACCTATCGTGCCATCTCTGCTGTTCTCGCTCTGCTGGTAGGGATGCCTTAAGCCTTGCCCAGCCCTTAGCAGGTAAGGATCAAAATTTTACAAAATAGAGGATTTTCATTTGTCTATGAAAGGCTTTCTTTGAAATGTGGGAAAATTCAATGAGTTACAACGGACTGTACCATTGAGGAGTTCAACCTATTATATATATTTTATTAGCATTGGTGTTGACATTATAAGATCCTTCGAATAATAAAATCTCATTTGTTATTGGGCTGCTGTTTTATTTAACACAAATGCTCACATGTTTTATATGTATGACAGATACGTATCACATGTTAACAATTATCGCATGTTATATATTATATAACAATTAGTGTAAGTAAACTAGGCCAATCTCCATGGATTCTTGATAAGACTGACGTGGAGTTATTCCACTTCTGCCAGGCAGAAGCATTGCCTTTATATGGATAAAGAAACTTAAGAATATTCTGTTCAGTATTATTCTGTGGAAATTGCTATCAATACTGCAGAAATTTTGTTGTTGTTGTTTTGATTTTTAGATGAAATTGAGTCCCATATTCAAGAGTTGGTGGATTTTTGGTAGAAATAAGCACTACTTCTGGAGCCCACAAAATGTCATGAGTTATGAAACACAGATAATGAACTCAAAGGTCAGACAGTTTTCCCCAATACCAGGATCTATAAGAGACCAAGACTCCAGTATGATCTGTCAGGACACAGAAGGGATTTATAGTGTTAGAAACAGAGATAAAAAATTTTATTGGCTAAAGGAAAACTCAGAAATATCCCTTTTATTTATTTATTTATTTTTTGATTTGTGAAAGAATAATTTTTCAGTTTGTTTTTAATCGGTTATTTCTTCTTATTAAAAAAAACCTTTTTATTAGAATAATCTAAGCAGTTATATCCTCAAAACCTATTTTATAAGCATCTACACTAACAGTTCCCCTTAAGTTACGTGGCAAATTTGTATGATAGTGAATAAATAATGACCAAGTGGTTCTAGAGCATTCGAAATATATATAAGTAACTCCAAGTCTATCTTTTAAAAAAGAAAATTAACAAAACTTGGACTCTGTATGCCTAAGGAGTTAAAGGTGACTAACCTTATCATTATCTGACACACATATATCAGTTCTTTCTGTAACACTATGTAATTCCTGTGGGCTCTGGCATGTGAATTTTTAAGACCTACAAGTTACGATGACAGAAAATATTGAAACCATAGATGTGGGTGTGAAGTTCTGTCAGTCCCCTTGGTACAGCATCTGTGGCACTTCTGTGTCAGGTTCCAATAACCACCTGTTAGTTCCATCCCATCGGGGTTGATTGTCACCCTGTTATCTGCATGGACAGCGTTCATTTAACACCTGCTCACCAGAGAAATCACATTGAGCTGAGAAGCGACTCTATCAACGTCACTACAGTTCTCTTAAAGATGAACAGAAACATCACTCTCTTTAACAGACTTTCTTTAAGAGACTTCACAGGCTTTCAGGAGACATCCATAGAAGCAGGAGGCAGAGCTCCAGTCAGTCCAAATCACGATCTCCAAACCATTTGCTTTATCAGGAGCAGGCATTTGTATATTTGAACATCAATCTACCAGATGCAGTTTTCATGTCTCTTGTTCTGGAAGAGCTGAGGAACTGCCTCTTTTTCCTGGCCTTGCCTCACCCCCTTGATTCCCCACTACCATTCCCTCTGGGTTGGAAGGACTATGGCTCTTTCTGCATTAAGACTGAAAAAAGATTTCTTTCTCTAAGCAACTCAGGGCCCCAGAGACCCCCCCCCCCGTATGGAAAGACGAAATTTCGAGTGAGGACTCAGATGGAGCAAGTGCTTGCAAGGGGGAGAGTCTCAGCTAAACATGTTAAGTCAAAATTTACTGGTGGAGAAGGAAAACTAGCTAAATGCAAACCAGCAGAACTTGCAGCACATCCATTTAAATAATGTTTGTTGTGGCAATTTATCACCTAGAGAGTGAAGTTCCCTTGCACAATAGCCTAAGTTTACAGAGCTAGGTCTGACAGACGATCATATATAAAAGAAACATAAGATGACCAGTGATGAGTTTCTTGGTTTCATTTTTGCCTCGTATATCTCGGAATTGGAAGCTGAAGACACTAGCAATCTAGAAATGCCAACGTTGCAAATCAAACAACCCTAATGAAAGCCCAGCAAGGCAGCACTTATTTAGGCAATGAGTGCTTCGCTCCAACCAAACACCACAGAAAAACCTGCAACCTCACCCTGAGCTGCACCAGCACGGACCGAGCTGGAAGCCTAGACTTCCACCCTCACACAGTTATACCAAGGGGCGCCGACACCCTGGGCAGGGTGATGTCAGAGACAGATCGTAGGAAATCGGGACGTTCACCCCCACTTGCCAGTAAAAGCCCCACTACCCTCACCACACAGTGTTAGTGTTGAGCATGTAGGAAGTTCACTTCCATCCGTAGTAATGAGACATCTCTCCCCCTCCGCACTGGGGTGGTGTCAGAGGAGGCTTAGTGGAGAGTCAGGACTTTGACTAAGCATCAGTGAGGACACTCCCACTGAGGTTTCAGTGGAGACCACGTAGGGAACTGGAACGCCCACCCCTGCCCAGCAGAAGTGAATAAAGCACCCTCAGGAATCAGCAGAGGTTGAGTGGGGTACCCGGTCTTCTACTCCCACCTGGCAGTAACTAGGCAGTACCCCCATTCTGCTGCTGGCATAGTGTCAGAAAAAGCCAACCAGCATAGAAGGCAGGAATAAGATCCAGAGTCTCATAACATGATATGAAACTGACCAGGTTTCAATAGAAAATTACTCATGAAACCAACAACCAGAAAGATCCCAAACTAAGTAAAAAAAGACAATAAATAAATGTCCACAGCAAAAGAGATGTTAGAATTATCTTTAAAAAATTATAGAGCACATATGATGAACATGCTTCAACAAGCAGTTATGAAAGTGCTTAAAACAGATGAAAGTTTAGAAAGCATTAGGAAAGAAATAGGAAGACCTGAACCCAGAAGCTCCTTTCATACCCCAAATCCTTCCAACTCCTTCACAAACAATCAGTGAGATTGCCAGGGTGTCAACACACTCGAAAATCTACTCAACACTGTTGATCGGTTAGGAAGACATTCAAGAAGGACAACAGGTTGGTCATTCCCTAGCAGTAAATGAAAAAGAATGATACCCACATTTAGAAAATATGAAAAATAGCCATAGAAACAAATTTAAAAGGAGATCATCACCTAGGACCACACTTCAGAAGTGATGACAGACCAGGTGGCCTCATCTTCGGTGCATCTGCTCTTTGCTAGCTGTGTGATCCTGGACAAGTTGCTTAACCTTTCTGAGATTTACATTTTTTATCTGTAAAATGGGGATGGTAATAGAATTGATTTCAGGGGGCTTTACTGAAGATTGCACAAATACAGCATCTGCCACATTTTGTTGTTACATCCCTAAACAGCAGCTTCAAAGGAAAATCAGTTCTAGTAACATATGGACATTTTTTTTTTAACTTCCTTCACCTGTTGCGTCACCTTCCTGCAAAATATTTTCTCAGTTGCTGAAAATTAAGTTCCGAAGGGTGCACTAAGGTAAAGTCAATGAAGCAAACCAATAAAAAAATGGAAATTGAATTATTCTTATTTTTTCATAAAAAATGGAATCACTAAATAAAACAGCTGGGAATTAGAAGACTTGCCTGCATGAAAAGAAAGTCTGAATTGACCCTCCAGGTTTCAATCGGGTGTGCTCTGTGCCCTCCCAGTTAATCACTGCTGTGCCTGAGTGGCCAGGCGACCTGGCTCCCGGGTGGGTTGGCCAAGAACCACCAACATGGACATCTGGGAAATCTGAAGTCCAGGCTTTCTAACGTAAGAGTTTCTTTTGTTGGTTATGTAACTACCAAGGACACAGTTAATCTCTGTGTCTTAATAGGGATACTAATCCTCAGGGACAGGGTTGTTTTCAGTATGTTAAAGTTTCAAAAATAGAACCACTCACATCACTGCAATAGATGTGGTTAGTAACATAACTTTTTATTTAACACAAGAGAATAGCATGTCTTCTAATTTCAGTGATTAATAGGAAACTGAAAGATGCCATGTTTGGATATTTTATTCAGATTTACTTTTTTCTTTCTCGGGCATCGTTTAATGTTTATACCATGCAAACAAAAAGTAGGTTTTAACATTTCACCGTTTTTTCCTGTAAATGTTAGTTCATTCAACCCCATGTCTTTTGAATTTGTTCTTTTGGGAAACCATATGACTCAAGATTTTTCTCCTTTTTAAACATTCTCCAAAAGTATGCGTTAGGATTCCATTTTTTAAAACTTCCAGCTTTATGATACAGCTACAGTGTGACATTCTATGTGTACTTCCCCTTTCTTCCCACCTCTTCATGTAAAGAGCTACTGCCATGGACTCAAGTTAACGTGAATGAGATTCATTCCTTATTCCAAAACATCTTCCAGATGACTTAGAGACTCAAATGTAAAAAACAAAAATATAAAAATGCTGAAGTAATATATGAGCAAATATTTAGAGCATTATTCAAAACGCAGAAGAGACAAAGGAAAAGACTATGTAAATACTAAATTTAGTATGTAAATACTAAAACTACACATTTAAAACACTCCATCAACATTGTCAAAAGATAAGAAACTGGAATGAAGAAACAATCAAATGACAAGGGCTAATATTCTAAGTACACCAAAGATGTTAATAAAAAACAGATGAACAATCGAGTAGAAAAGACTGCAAATGACACAAATGGCAATTTCTTAAAAAAGAAACGTAAATAACCAATAAACACACCACAATTTCAACTCCCTAATGAAAAACTGCAAAACAAACAGCAAAAAAAGATGCCTTTTTTTCCCCACTGAGTTAGCAGTTTTAAAAAATTGTTAATACCCAGGTTTGGCCAGGGTATGGAGCCTGGAGGGGAGCAACCTTCTTATAATCATGCAGGAACCTGGAGGAGAGAGGCAGGGATGGTGGGATGGAGAGTCAGGAGGAGCCTGGGACTCCATGCATCAGGACCCTGGAGCCACTGCACAAGCCCAAGACTGCTGACCTCTGGTCTTGCTACAAAGTAAAGCAAAACCTTATTTGGTTAAGCCACTCCATTCCAACACATGCTGCCTAACACAATCCTACTCAACTTGAGAATTAATTCTTCCAAAGATAGGTAGCAGCAACGCTCAGAAACATACGAGGTAGCATATCAAAACGGAG